TGAGGACCACATGAGCAACACTCCGGCGCCGCCTCGCGTGGGCCTTCGCTGGGAAGGTCACGGAGGCTGTAGCGCCCCTGGGACGCCGTATTTAAGCGCCCCAGGACGATAATGCGCGGCGCACTTTGCAACACAACCGCGTGCCGCTAGCCTCGAACGTCGCCGCCTCCACTGCTGCCTACGCACGCCCACCCACTACGCCGCTCACGCCTCAAACAGACGTGGGCGACGTGGGAGTTAGCAGGAGGACGACGCGGCAGCAAGGGAGGCGCTCGACGCGGACTGTTACGACACGTCGGTGCTTGCCTGGCCACGTACAATGTAAACAAAAACAAAAAGGGAACAACAAATTGTCGCCTCGTGTCAGACCGGTGTAGGAGCCGCCCCCACCTGATGCCCGGAGGAGGAGGAGGAGGAAGTAAGAGAGCACTAAGTGTTAATCTTACACTACCCAACACCAGTTATCATAACTAATCTAGCAGACAATAAACAGAAAGTAATCTAGAATATAACAATTAGAAATTTTCCTAAAAGATAACATCTACTGCAGGAGGGTAAGGCACCGGATAAGGCACGGAGGGAGAGAGGTAGAGAGAGAGAGGAGGGGGGGGGGACTACTCAGATGGGCTTTCCCTACAGGAAGGAGCAGATTAATGTTTAAAAATAATTGTGACAAAGCCAGAGAAGCTTTTCTGCGAATCTGGGTGAGGTGACTGAGGGGAAATGTCTCTAATCTAGTGAGGGAGAGTGGGTGTGAAGGGAGAGAGAGAGAGAGAGAGAGAGAGAGAGAGAGAGAGAGAGAGAGAGTGAGAGGGGAGAGAGAGAGTGAGGGGAGAGAGAGTGTGTGAGGGGAGAGAGAGTGAGAGTGGGTGTGAGGGAAGAGAGAGTGGGAGTGGGTTTGAGGGGAGAGAAAGAATGAGAGAGGAGAGGCAGAGAGAGAGAGGGTATGAGGTGGGAGAGAGGGAGGGTAAAGGCCAAAGGACACGAGCTTGAAGAGGCGTGAGGAGAGACAGGAAGAGAGGGACGTTCATTATACATCACTGTTGAGAATATTCCGAAACCATTCTACCTAAAAGACAGAAAGAGAGATTGAGAGTAGACATGCCAAGTGCTGTGTTAGTGTGTGCGTCTGTGTCTGTGTTAGTGTATGTTTTTTTGTGTGTGTGTGTGTGTATCTGTGTGTGTGTGTGTGTGTGTGTGTATCTGTGTGTGTGTGTGTATCTGTGTGTTTGTGTGTGTGTGTGTATCTGTGTGTGTGTGTATCTGTGTGTGTGTGTATCTGTGTGTGTGTGTATCTGTGTGTGTGTGTGTGTATCTGTGTGTGTGTGTGTGTGTATCTGTGTGTGTGTGTGTGTGTGATGAGTGCCAGTGTGAGGTGTCAGTACAAGACGAGGTGGTAGCTAGTGTGGTGTGCTGGTGTGGAGCATGAGTGACCTGGGTGAGTGGGAGTTATTATGAGTGGTGTGACTGGGAGTTAGTGTGCGTGGGGCGAGTGGGAGACGGGCGGTACACGCGGCCAGAGACACGGAGGCCACGTAGCTGCTACTGCTGCCGCCGGCGACGGAGGAGGATGAGAAGGAAGAACTTTCATTCCCCCGTCAGCAAAAGGTAGAGGAAGAACGACCTTTTCCCTTCCCTGACGACGAAGGAAGATCTCTTCTCTCCTTCCGTCGTGGTGGAGCATAGTGACGATAATGGAGGGGGGGAGGGAGGGTGTAAGGGCTGCTGTCGGCGAGGTGAGGGCTGTCCCCGGGCCAGCCAGGGACAGCGACCCTCATCCAGACACCACCTTCAAGTAAAGCTGATTACCAAGTTGGACGACGCGAGCCGTGACCTTTGTACACTTCTTCTTCTGGGACATCCCGAGGAGGACCCAGTCACAACACAAGTGGAGGAGGCGTGAGGTACTGCACTCCGAGGTGAAGACATGACATAAATGGTCAGCGAGAAGTTGATAATATTTCGAGGTGATGCCGCGAAAAATAAACAGAGACCACTAAAATGATACTAAAGTCATTTCTTTTTTTAATATAACCCTCGCGACTCCTCCATTGAACATCCCTTTTTGGGGGGCAGGGGTGAGTGAACACAACCTTGGACGGGCGGGGAGCAGCGTGGGTCGTTTCAGGGGGACACCAACGCCCACACCCATAGATTTTAAAGCTCGGGAGCTCTGTATGGGCGCTATCAGGGGCGGGAGTGGCTGAAGGAACGTTGTATGTGCTGTGAAATTCTGATTCTCTCTAATTCTAATTTTACTGATTATGATTCCCATTCTAATTCTCTAAATATAACACAATGTCTGATAACTCTGATTCAGATTCTAATTTTATCTCATAACGCTGATTCAGATTCTAATTTTGGTTCTTTTGGTAATTCTGATTCTCGTACTGATTGATTATACTTGTCTGAGTTCTTGTAAACATACGTTAAATTTCGACTGGATATTACATTAATTTTGTTTTTATCATTTTAACACATTCTAACATTGCTTCAGCCTCACCCAGGGTCACCACCAGCCGAAAGACGGTTCACAGACTCAGGAATATAACACAGAAACTAAATAATTTAACACAGTAACTTATTTAACATTAGGTTCCGAAAATTTAACAACGAAGTGAATTGTTTATACACACGAAGGCAGAAACGTGGCTGGTGGTGGCCAAAATGAAAAAAAAATACAAGTTATATGTTCAAGTATAGAGCTAATATACTTTTAACACATACATAAGGTTAAAAGTCAACATTATCAATAGACAAGGGAGTCCAGAATTTAACAGGTCACTTAGTAAAGACCTGAATTAACACAGTTTAAATACGAAAGACAGGATGTTTAACTTAACATAAAACAGTTTTAACACAGTTGGCTGGGTTTAGAATTTAACAATGTGGTCAAAAACTGAATTAACACACACAGCTGACAGGATCTGAAATCTTTAACATTTCATATGGGTAAAGAATTAAATTAACATGCACAGTTAACATAAGAAATCATCCTAGTTTAAGATTAACATAATCGATAAATTCTAGAATTTAACAATATGGAGAAAAAATGTAATTGTAAAAAAAATTACAAATTTAACGCAAGATAAATTTTTGGAGACACCAAAAATTAGATTAAACAAAGGTGGTCCAAATATTAGGTAAAAAAAAGGTCAATTCAATAAAATTAGGTAACAAAAATTGGGAGGACCATAAAATTAAGCAAAACAAATTGGAAGGTCCATAAATTGGGTAAAACAAAAATTGGGAACAACCAAAATAAGTAAAAAAAATAGGAGTTCCATAAAATTCAGAGGTCAAGATCAAATAAAATCGAAAGGTAAAAAAGAAATAATAATAATTCTAAAAAAATGGAGTCTAAAAAAATAAGAGATCGTCTCCGTATTAATAAAACAATAACAGTGAAAACTATATCCAAGATCACCATTACATTACACACAGACAGCACTTCCTTCTGTCAATAATAACACTAACTTTCTCAAATCCACAGACAGACACACACAGACAAACAGAATGGCATCTCATTATTATTCTAACAACTGGAGAAAAAACCTCACACTAAACACAGTCACGAAATATCAGTCACACACACACACATATTCACTATCACTATACAGTTTGGCACAGTAATTGTTGGATCGTTGTATAAAACAGTCAAGAATATACATATCTTACAATACACATTAACAAGTTTGATAAGGCACTTTCACGCCATCACTTAAGACACGTATGGCCAAAGAAAATAAATGTCAGCAATCTGTATAACAATGTATATGGTAATATGTATAACAATGTGTCTGACAATCATCTTATGGCACAAATATGAAAACAACTTCCAGGTCAATATGTGTATGATGTATGTATGTATGTGTGTATATTGTTTGCGTGTATAATGTCATCCTGTACAGATCATTTTATACCATTATATACACACGTCATTATATTATATATATATGCCAGCGTGTGTGTCAACATGGCAACAAATATGGCACAAGTATGACATGGTGTGTGTCACAACTATGGCACACGGGTTCTTGGAGGTGGTAGTGGCACCCAAGAAACTACTAGCTAAGAATGATGGCACTTTTAAGTCACAACCTACAGAACTCGGGGTGCCAATACAGGGTAGGCACCTTATCACATTACGAGAGAGAGAGAGAGAGAGAGAGAGAGAGAGAGAGAGAGAGAGAGAGAGAGTAAAAATAAGTTGATTCATTAGATCTTATTAACAATGTACTGTATTCAGTTCGTTATACAGTTTTTGTTATCAAGAAGTAGCTGGTTGAATCACTTGTCTCTTTAGCTATTTACCTTAACATAAAAACAATAATGACTACGTAAAGTGAAATAAGAATAAGAATAATAATATTATAATAGCGTTAGGGATTGTATGGGATAAAATAAAAAAACACTAAATAAAGAACGAAATTAATTGCTGAACGAGTGAGTGGTATGAAAGGATTCGAAGCAATGATGTCGAGCTTTTGAAATGCGGAACCTCTCTCTATTGGAGCGGATTTTACATTCGGAAGCTTAAAAAAAAATATGTTCATGGTATTACAAAATCCTGAATAGACTTCAACGTTTCATTCATCATATAAAAGTACTCGACAAGCAGAGTGAGTCGGGTGTTTCAAAGATTCGACAAGCATAATGTGTCACGTGTTTCAAAGATTCGACAAGCAGAGTGCGTCACGTGTATCAAAGATTCAACAAGCAGAGTGCGTAACGTGTTTAAAAAATTCGACAAGCAGAGTGCGTAACGTGTTTCAAAGATTCGACAAGCAGAGTGCGTCACGTGTTTCAAAGATTCGACAAGCAGAGTGCGTCACGTGTTTCAAAGATTCGACAAGCAGTCACGTGTTTCAAAGATTCGACAAGCACAGTTCAAAGATTCACAAGATTCACCCGCTTCAAAGATTCGACAAGCAGAGTTCGTCACGTGTTTCAAAGATTCGATAAGCACAGTTATTCAGCTTCAAGATTCGACCCGTCACGTGTTTCAAAGATTCGACAAGCAGAGTGCGTCACGTGTTTCAAAGATTCGACAAGCAGAGTGCGTCACGTGTTTCAAAGATTCGACAAGCAGAGTGCGTCACGTATTTCAAAGATTCGACAAGCAGAGTGCGTCACGTATTTCAAAGATTCGACAAGCAGGGTGCGTCACGTGTTTCAAAGATTCGACACGCAGAGTGCGTCACGTGTTTCAAAGATTCGACAAGCAGCGTTCGTCACGTGTTTCAAAGATTCGACAAGCAGAGTGCGTCACGTATTTCAAAGATTCGACAAGCAGAGTGCGTCACGTATTTCAAAGATTCGACACGCAGAGTGCGTCACGTGTTTCAAAGATTCGATAAGCAGAGTGCGTCACGTATTTCAAAGATTCGACAAGCAGAGTGCGTCACGTATTTCAAAGATTCGACAAGCAGGGTGCGTCACGTGTTTCAAAGATTCGACAAGCAGAGTGCGTCACGTGTTTCAAAGATTCGACAAGCAGAGTGATTCACGCGCTTCATCGATTTAATTAATATGGAAAATTTATGTGTTACTTCGGTAAAAAAGACGTCTCAAAGATTCAATTATACCTATTTAAAAAAAACTTACACGGAACCAAAAAGCGCTGAGTAAAAATATCTCAAAGGTCAAGTTTGGAAAAAATCGACAGAACATGCCTGGCCTTGAGTGTGGGGAGGGAGGGAGGGAGAGTATTAAAATAAAATTAATGAACGTCACTGTGGAAAATGAACGTGAACATGAACACTCAGTGATGGAAAAAAAACGGATGAACATTTTATCAGATTCACGTACTTAGAGATGAAACAATGAATGAGTGTTTTATCAATATGGTGGATATAAAGGGTGTCCCAAAAGTTCATATACATAAGACAGAATTCACTGTTTACTTTCTACTTCATCAAAACGTTCAAAATATTCCATCTTATAGACTTACATGCACAGATGTCAATTATAATTCTTCCGTCTAATCCTCTTTGAATATTTATCAATCCCTGTGCTGATCAGAACCGACTCCTACAAAATAAAAAAGGAATTCCACTTTTCGTCGATATGTAAATACGAACTTTTGGGACACACTGTACATGTATGAGTGGATACATATATACTCATTAAAAGTTAAAGTCCTTCTCGGCATTGGTGGACTAACTTAGATACGGATGGTCGTGTTGTGTAGCGTCTTGCGTAAACATCAACACTGATACCGTAACAATAATAAATCTTAAGCTCGTTCTAGTGGATTCGAACCCACGAATCATGTCTCAGTGGGTTCATTCAGGATAATCTGCCTTGTGTCCTGTGAGCAAAAGAGGGAGATCCGAACCCACGAATCATTTTACAAGAGAGTGGATTCGATTACGATAGTCTGCCTTGATGAGTCTGCCTGTTGGTTCACGAACAGATTCGAACTAATGAAGTCACTTTAATAAGGTTCCTTCGCGATAGTCTGTTATGTGTTCGTATCCTGTGAGCAAAATGAGAGATTCGAACTCACGAAGCATATGTATTATGGTTCATTCGAAGTGTGTGTGGTGTGTGTGTTGAAGGTCAATGGTCAACAGCACTGTATAATATACGTCACAGTTCACAGGCGATAGAAGACTTATCAACTCACGTTTCTTTAAATACTACGAAAAAGCCGTTACAAAATATAGATATATATTTATATATATATGTATGTATGTATAAGTATAAAATGCTATAAAATGCTTTCTTCGAATCCAAAAGGACGGCATTTGAATGTTTTATGTTTCCTAAGGATTATGCCCTTGGAAGTGACGCTCCTCACAACAAGAGTCGACCCATCACATCTTATTCATCTTCAAGGTCCTACCTAACCAGTAGCTGTTGCCCGCTTTCACTGTATAGATACCACTGAAGGGTGATGGTCGAGCACAACGCAGCCCCTCCCTTCCGTCACATTTTTTTTTGTCGCTGAAAGAAGCAATACTCAAGACTTGGGGGAGAGTTTCCTGGATACCATGAAGTCACTGGTCGTTCTTCTTGCACAAAGCACATCGTCAGATACGTTCTGATGTTAAGAAAATCGTCGCCAAATTTCTGTTGTCGTTGATTCATTTCTGGGACTTGGGCATGTGTCGTTTCATGTGGAGGGCGAGGTGGTCAGAGCGGGCGAAGGATCTCTCACACACCTTACACTTGAAGGGTTTAGCTCCCGTGTGCTTCCTGTAGTGCCGCGTTAACTCGTCTGATCTGGCGAACCTCCACTGACACTCTGGCCAGTGACACCTGTACGGCTTTTCACCTGTGGGAAGAAAAAACACCTGCGTGAGGCACAGTTGAGAAATGTACCACCTAATATAAGTCAAGATAAATGAAGATTATTATTAAGATACAAGAAATACGTTAACGTCCAGCCGTCACCAACCACCCAACCGTCACCAACCGTCACCAACCACCCAACCGTCACCAACCACCCAACCGTCACCAACCACCCTACCGTCAGCAACCACCCAGCCGTCACCAGTCGTGCAACACTCTGGTGATCCAAGCCAATGTGGGTTAGGTTAGGTTAGATTAGAGCAGCTGAAGGCCTACAAGCAAATGATTGAAGGAAAATATTGTACATATCCAAGTAGTTCTAAAAACGTCATAAAATGGACAATATTTTGCAGTAACTTGAATCAATGTAATAGAAATAGAGTATATTATGTTCAGCATATAAGAACACATTCCTAGGTATACAGTGACCGCTGGTGGGGTGACACAAGGTCAGGGTCTACAAACAACAGCCGAAGCCAAGACCACGACGGGTTCAGATGAGTCCTGGATGTAAACAAATGTGCAGAAATTTTTATGAATGAACCTGAGGGAAGGTGTGAACGAGGGCGTTGTCTCCCCCACACCCAGAATCCTCAATGGACAACGAGCTGACTCCGCCCATCACTCCTTATATGGCCATCACCATCGCCTAATACGGACACCTCATAAAAACGAGCACCGGCCATGATGCTATGCACTCAAGGCCCGGCCGGTTAAGAGAGCATCATCCTCAAAACCACCCCCACCTCCTTCACTCTCTCCCTCCCTGTCCCTCCCAACAAACCCTTTTAACCACCCCCCGGAGCTCACTTCAAAAACACCACTAAAAATCCTTCCACCTACACATTCAGCCTCCCCTCCACCAAGACCACCTCAACATCCTTACACATTCCCACTAACTATTCCTCATTCTAGATCATCGGAAATCAACATTCCTGGCTCAAGAACTCACTTCAATCTTAACCCCCTAATATTTTTTCTCTCTCTCTCGGCGGGACAATGGCAGTAACAGGTTCGGGAGGCTGCTGGGATTGTATCAGCCTCAAGCCTCCCTCCCTCACCCCCTCCTGGCGCAGGTTACAATGTCCTCTGCTGGACTAGGAGGACGTGCAGGAGGAGGAGGAGGAGGAGGAGGCGGAGGATATAAAGAAGAGGAAGGTAGGGAAGGAGATGAGGATGAAGAAGAATAATGACCACGGCCTCCAGCGACCTCCATAATGACCACGGCCTCCAGCGACCTCCATAAACTTGTTGTCAGATGAGCCTTGCCCAGTGTTGTTGTCCTGCCAGTGTTCACCAGGTCACACTGTCCTCTCCTCTACCAGGTCAAGCTGTCCTCTCCACCAGGTCACACTGTTCTCTGCCAGGTCACCCTGTCCTCTACTCTACCAGGTCATATCCTCTCTACCCGGTCATGCCGTCCTCAACAAGGTTAAGCTGTCCTTTCTACCAGGTCACGCTGTCTATCACCACCACCACTACTACTATTAAAATAATACTAATGATAATAATAATGTCTGGTCCAGTGTATCATTGTACATAATAAGTTGTTGCAAAAGGCGATTATTTAACATTTTATCCTAGGAACCACAACATACAGACGTGCATACATACATACATACATACATACATACAGTACATACATACATACATACATACATACATACATACATACATACATACAGTACATACATACATACATACATGCATGCATACATACATAAAGTACATACATACATGCATACATACATACATACATACAAAGCAGCCAAGAAGAAAACCAAAAGCCCGGCAGTGCCCCAAGAGACACGGGGAAAGCAAATAAAAAATACAAACTTGTTCGAGAAATTATTCAGTCAGTCAAGAAAGCCAGTCGGTCTCGGTCGTAAAGTTGACCAGACAGTAAGAATGTCATTCAGAGTTGATAACAGTAAGGTGGATGTCGGCCATTCAGAAAATTACTAGATAAAAAGGTCAGACAAAATGGCCAGACCCAGACAAGCGCGAGTGAAGTGCTAAGTATCCCCGTCAAGAACCGTCCATCTATTTTACCTATTTTTATCAATGGACCACAAAAGTCGTTGCCACAACAAATTAAAGACAATGCGTGAATGTTGAGAGAATAAATAGTATCTTCCCCAGAGCAGTACTTTTTTCCGAGCGACCAGCGTAGCAACAGTACAACATCCCGTCGCCTACTCACCAAAAATCCTTCTCATCCCCCCCTCTCCTCCTGCCTCCCCCGCCTCCCGCACACTGCCGGTTGACCTCCCCTGGTGACCCCTGCGTGCCCCAGCCTCACACTCACTCCCCAGCTCGGGAATTCCTTCCTGCAAGCTGGTGGTTTAGCGACGCCATCACCATCATCATATGGACAGGTTTGGGTAGGTTACATAACGTCCTTTTAGGGTTATTATTCTCAATGTTGAGTCTCTCACTGTGTTAACTAATTTATTTCTATTGGTCTATTAGGTCTATTAATAATATTCTCTCCGTTAGTAAGTTATTTGGTTATCAAACTTTATTTTAGATCTGTTACTTGCATTCTAGTAATTATTATTTCAGACTTTTCTAAGTGAAAGGAATAAAAAAAAATAAAGATGACCAACGTGAATCTACTCTCTAATCAAAAAGTCCTTGAGATCTTATCGGCCAACAAACTGGCTAATCGCCAAGACCCAATCGGTCACTAACACGAATCCCGGCAAACGTGTGCAAGAAGCTGCGGCCACTTGGCGGGAACCTGTCTCCTGATCTCCCTGCGGCCACCTACCAGACACCGCCAATTGACACAACTTCCGGTGGCCGCAGACGCCGTGTACTGAGTGGTAAAGTAGTGCCCTTGGCATCCGTCGCTACGTGTGTCTATGACCGTGACCAGACAAATGAGCTACAACGTGATTATGGCTCTATGAATAATTAATGGTACCGTGGAACATCCCACCCCAGGCGGTTCAAATTAGTCCCACCAGATGGCCAAATAATTACGTTTTAATTTACCAAGATCAATTTTAACGCTCTACATAATTATTTACCATAAATTTCTCCTGGAATGTATAGTTCACAATCAAATAAACCCGGATTCAGAACGCGTGTCGGGTGAAGGGATAACAGGTGGTTATCGTAAGAATGCCTCAGTCATCGTACCCAGGCAACACCACGACTTGTGAATGAAGGCTCGCGCCGTCGCTCATTGGCCACAGCTTCCCCTCGTCCGAATCCTTCACCTCACCGCCCATCTCAACTCTTCTCTTACTTCTCTCGTATCTAACACTGTCCATTGTTACAAAACTGTTTTCGAGTTTATAAATGAAAGCCATCGTTAAAAGGATTCTTAACTACTTTTCGTAAGTAACGATGATTTTATTAATAAATTTTATATTGCCGTGACAAATATAATCTTACCTACATGAATCTTACAATTTTAACTTAAGTTCTTGATATATTACGACACATTCACCTAATTTATCAACTCAATGACATAACCAACAGATGCACTTCTTTACAATTTCCTTGAGGTGGTGCAACAGTCTTACTGAAAACTACATAAAAAACCCTAAAGTACAAGGACATCATAGACCAAAACTTACCCTAAAATAAGATCATTAGTATCACCACCTGTAACATCATTTGCAACAACAACAAAATCGCCTAAAAGTACACGCTTAAAGGCTCGCCAACAAATGGTGAAGAATGTCACTGTGCGGTGAACTATGGCGGCACTGATGGACGGGTCACCAGGCGTCAAGGCTAGACAAGACAGTGTTACCAACGTTCACCCACCTGTGAATACCATCCCCAGACTACGTTGCCGTCATTCTCTCTCTCTCTCTCTCTCTCTCTCTCTCTCTCTCTCTCTCTCTCACGCGGTAACAGTGACGAGAGATTGAGAAATAATAGAAAAGGAGAGACTGAGAAAGAGAGAGATAATTGAGTACACAGAAAGAGGAAGAAGAGACAGAGAGGAAGAGAGAGGGAAGGAAGAACACACACACACACACTGATAACCACAAAGAATAGAAGATGGATAAACGATTTATTTCCAGTGAGATTTTGTCCTGTAGGTTCTGTCCAAGGGAATTCTGTCCAGGAGTTCTACCCAGGGATTTCTGCCCAGGGAATTTTGTCTTGAGGGTTTTGTCCATTGGGTCTTCTGTCCGACACTGGTAGACAGGAGGCGAGTGGTCAGACAGTGAAGTACCTGAACAAACTTCCTGTTAAACACCACACCGGCTGCCGTCCATCCACCCTCTTGTCTCAAACGTTCGTCAGTCAAGTTCTTCCTCTATGATCAGTTACAAACTTTTTGAAATTATTCATAAAAATTCGTAAGTCAATTTTTTCACTCTAAAACAACTTCTTATGTAATGGAAGTCAGGGCTAAACAAAGGTGATATAACAAAGGTACTCAAACTATCCAATCAGGAGTGAACTCGTAGCAATGGTTTTAAATTAGACAAATTTAGATTTAGGCGCGAGATAGGCAAACACTGGTTTGAAATAGAGTAGTGGATGAGTGGAACAAGTTACCAAACATCATCATTAACTCGAATACGCTGGATAGCTTCAAACATAGGTTGGATGGATATATGAGCGATAGGGGTTGGGTGTAAATGGAACTGCCCAGTATGGGCCAATAGGCCCGCTGCAGTTTCTTCCATTCTTATGTTAGCTCACCAATTTAAGTTAAAGACTTAGAGACATACACCCAAAATGGCGTCGATATTACCCTGAGATTCGAATTCAAGTGAGTGTGTTATTCCGCTTCACAGTCAGGGGATACGAACTTATATGAAGATTTTACTGGATAATTATCCATTTATCTACTGTACGTGAAATAAACAAAACAAATAGAAGAACAATCATTGGGGGTTAGCTTGTCCCTCTCCTAACGCGTTCTGGAAGTGATGAAATATCTTGTGGTACACGACACCCTCCACCAACAACACACTATTCCTCTTACACGTTCATAGTGTTAGGAAATATTGTGAAGTGTGGGACATACAAACGTTCTCACAGGATGCGTATTACGTCACCACGATTGGTCCTCTTTCTCTCTCTCTTTTTCCACAGCCATACTTTTCACACACATAAGAATATAAGAACATAAGAACGGAGGAAACTGCAGCTGGCCTATTGGCCCATACTGGGCAGTCCCGTTTACACCCAACCCCTATTGCTCATATAAGCATCCAACCTATGTTTGAATCTATCCAGCGTATTCGAGTTAATGATGATATTTGGTAACTTGTTCCATTCATCCACTACTCTGTTTCCAAACCAGTGTTTACCTATTTCCCGCCTAAATCTAAATTTGTCTAATTTAAAACCATTGTTACGAGTTCGCTCCTGGTTGGATAGTTTGAGTACCTTTGTAATGTCCCCTTTGTTTAGCCCTGACTTCCACTTATACACCTCTATCAGGTCGCCCCTCGCTCTACGTCTCTCGAGGAGTGCAAATTAAGATGCTTTAACCTGTCTCTATACTCAAGGTTCCTAATGCCCGGGATTAGTCTTGTCATTCTCCTCTGAATTCTTTCCAAGGATTCTATATCCATTCTGTAATACGGTGACCAGAACTGAACTGCGTAATCCAGGTGTGGTCTCACAAGAGCAAGATACACGTCTCTCTCTACACACACAGGCGTACTATTACACACTCTCTCTCTCTCAGTAGTACTCACCTGTGTGTATTCTCTGATGGGCTTTCAGGTGTGAGGATTTGGTGTACACTTTCGTACAACCTGAAAAGAGAAAGTTGTTATTATGGCTGTGGAAAGTACCTATGTTATTATGGCTGTGGAAAGTTCCTCTGTTTTAATGGTTGTGGAAAGTACCTGTTATAATGGTCGTGAGAAGTACCTGTTTTAATGGTTTTGGAAAGTACATGTTATACTGGTTGTGGGAAGTACCAATTATTATGGTTGTGAAAAGTACCCGTGTCTAATGGTCGTGGAAAGTACCTGTTATAATGGTCGTGGGAAGTACCTGTTTTAATGGTTTTGGAAAGTACCTATGTTATAATGGTTGTGGAAAGTACATATAATAATGAGTAGTGAAAAGTACCTACATCATAATGGTTGTGGAAAGTATCTACAGTATATTATAATGGGAGTGGAAAGTATCTATATTATAATGGTAGTTTAGGTTTAGGAGGGAGATAGGAAGAAACTGGTTCACAAATAGGGTGGTGGACGAGTGGAACAAGCTTAGCAACTTTGTAGTAAGTGCTGGAACTCTGGAAAGTTTCAAAGGGAGGCTGGATAGATTCATGGATGATAGAGAGTGGTAGTAACTCTCGACAGGAGCTGCCATGCACAGGCCAACCGGCCTATTGCAGACTCCAGACTCCTTATTTTCTTATGTAATGGTTGTGGAAAGTACCTATACTTTAATAGTAGTGGAAAGTACCTGTTATAATGGTTGTGGAAAGTACCTGTATCTAAATTAGACAAATTTAGAATTAGGCGTGAAATAGGTAAACACTGGTTTGGAAACAGAGTAGTGGATGAATGGAACAAATTACCAAATATTATCATTAACTCGAATACGCTGAATAGCTTCAAACATAGGTTGGATGCTTATATGAGCAATAGGGGTTGGGTGTAAACGGGACTGCCCGGTATGGGCCAATAGGCCCGCTGCAGTTTCCTCCATTCTTATGTTCTTAATAATGAGTAGTGACAAGTAACCATATCATGATGGCTGTGGAAAGTACCTATATTATATTGGTAGTGGAAAGTACCTGTTATAATGAGGGCGGAAAGTACCTGTCATAATGGTGGTGAAAAGTACCTATGCTATAATGGTTGTGGAAAGTACCTATGATACAATCGTAGAAGTACAAAATGAATGACAGTCGCAGTGGTAATTCCCTGGGAAAGAATAGAGGTGCAATGTTTCCTAGTAATTCATGTTTTTTTTCTGACAAACTTACGTCAATGAACACCGAACGACCCTAACCTAACCATACAAAGCATAACCAACCGTAGCTTAACCAAATTTATCCTAACCTAACCTAACGATACTTGCCTAGACCATAAATTAAAAAGTGCTTCAACTGGCAATGTTATGAAGCACTCTACACAGATCTTATCTTACAAGAAGCACCTTGAACGATACAGCTAGGCTACTGTTTATGTGTGTGACAGGGGAGATACTATGCCTGTATCATACTGGTTTACAGAGGCAATGACACCTGCCCTACAATGGTGCACAGTCCAGTACAACATTTACTACAGAAGAAAGCACTTATATATAAAATAATCTGTCATATAATAATGGGGGGAGCCAGAGCAGCATGTAAACAAAGGCAAGGACACAACGTACCTGGGAAGTCACAGTGATGGATGCGTCGCTTCTCCAGCTCCGGGTTGTTCCTGCGGGAGTACTTGACCATACCGGAGTCGTTGAGGAGTGTGGAGGGCAGCGACGGTGAGGACAACATGAGGGGTTGGCCGCCCATACTTCTCCCGCCACCCATACTTGTGGTGCACACGGCGATGCCACCCACGCCCGCGCTGGACGTGGGTGAAGGAGGGACCACGTAGGGTGGGGGTGGAGTGCGACGGAAGTGCAGGTCCGCTGGTGACCCATGGTCAGACGCGGGCGGCGTGGGCGGCATACAGAGCCTGGTAGGCTGGCCTAGGGTGGAGGGGAATCTAAAGGCCGGGTGGGCGGATGTGGGCGTAGAGGAAAGGGACGGCAGCCGAGGTGGCATGATCAGGGGCGGGGGAGGCGACGGAGTGGACAATAACTTAGGGAGCTCCCCTGACAGGTGGCACTGTGTCAGCGTGGGCTCCTCCAGCTTGACGTGGGTGTTGGTGTGGGGCTGAGATATGTGGTGGTAGCCCCTGGCACTCATGCCCCCCAGGTGACCCCCCAGGGAGGAGTCCTGTGCCTCAGGGTCTAGGTGCCTGATGGAGGAGGTGACGTCCTCCCACATAGTCAACTTGGAGTCCACAGGGATGGGCTCGGGCTTGATAAATACGTCTTCGTCGTGGGGGTCTCGGCTGACGGGTGAGACATAGGTGGTGGTGGTCGCCCCTCGTCGGCCGCCCACCCAGCCGACCGTATTGGGATCCACCTCGCCCTCGAAAAACTCGTCGATCTGGGAGGCTGAGTCGCGTCGAGGCTGAACCGACTGTTCTGGTAGACTGGGCAGGTACTTATCCAGCTCCGCCTGAGAGAGAGAATTGTTTAGGGTTATTCGAGGTCATACATAATGGCTATCTGTTTACCTATCTTTATATTTGCATAACTATCTATCTTCACCAAGATTTAACGTATAGTTATATTTTCCAAGTATTTCCTTGATTCGCGATGAAGAATAAGATAAATGAAGATTAAGGAAACAAGAGAATGGTTGTGTGTGGAGGACAGGTAAGACCCACACCAGGAACAACAACAACCTTCACTCGCCTAACGTCATCAGAAGCTCTCACACGTTGTAATGACAAATTAACATTTTCACTCACGACGTCGAAGCTTTGTAGGCTAGGTTAGGTTAGCGTATGAAATCGTTAACTTACGTATCTCCGAGAATGCATTTGTGTCGTAAGTTAAGTGAGATAGAGATAAAGTCCTTCGTACTGTGGAGGGTCCGGCGGCGCCTATCTGACTGCCGCCAGTAATCCCTCGGCTAGACAAGGTCAATCCTCATTACCTGCATCATCTGAGGTCAAACCCTTGAACCATTTTGACCCCGGATAACCAACTCACGGGTCACTGCTACTTCAGCCTCCCCTCCACACCTGGGTCACCTTAATGACCAAAGGGTTATAAGAGGTATATTCTTAACGACCTGCTGCACGTGTTTACCCTCAGGCTCTGATCTGCTGTGGTCAGGTCAGCTAAGGTCAAGGCGTATGACGCCATGGTTTTGAATGAGGTCACTGAGGAATGTCCTCCAAGGCTGAGTGTTGCAAAGCTCTGTGTGTGTGTGTGTGTGTGTGTGTGTGTGTGTGTGTGTGTGTGTGTGTGTGTGTGTGTGTGTGTGTGTGTGTGTGTGTGTGTGTGTGTGTGTGTGTGTGTGTGTGTGTGTGTGTGTGTGTGTGTGATATATGTATAAGTTTACTTGCTTGTTTCAACATATATGTCCACTGTGTAAGCGTATGTTTCTTAAAGCGTATCACACACACACACACACACACACACAGGTGTCCCCCCGACCATTCGTCAACACCCCTGGGGACAACACCTGCCTCGCCGCTCCCTTGAGTGTTTTACTGGGCCCTCCCACCACACATTCTCCCTACACCTGGATGGTTAACCCCTAGATTAGCCACCCTGACTTATTTTACCCGATGATTAAATATTCTAACGCTAACTAGAGTTTGGTGGGGTTAGGTTACGTTAGGTAAAGTTAGGTTAAGGTAGTTAATATTATCCTTCTAAGTTTCATAACTTCTTGTTGTAAATTCAGATTATGTTACGTATACATATATTGTTAAAAAAATAATTATAATTCTGATACAAAATTCCAAAAAACGCGTTACTTTAAAACACAAATGACGCGCGAAATCGATAATATTGGACAGAATACTCGAGTGGGTAAGCCAAGGCGTATAGGAATAGGACCATCCTCCACAAAAATGAACGACTGTAGTAAAGGATTATAATTACAGCTTAACCTACACGTGTTAAACCAGGTCATCGGCCACTCCTCCACCAAACCACTCCCAAGTTCATTCATAAAATATTTCCCGGTAGCCCGCGTCAGTTGCGGTCACTCAGAACAAAAGTATATCTGTCTGCAGGAAGTAAAACGCTCACTATAAATAAAAATACAAAATCATGATGAATGAGTGAGTAGTCCGGGATTCCCACACAACAGGAAACGGTAGAGGCGTTGTGGTGATTCATTCATTGAGAGCAAAAAAAAAAAAACACAGCCCAAAACCGCAATTGCCAAGTAGTATGTTTACCATTGTGTAAGTCGATGTGCTTTAGGGGGAATATTTGTATCTAGTTAGGTTAGGTTAGATTTGGTTAGGTTGGGTTAGGTCAGGTCAGGTTAGGTTTGGTCAAATTAGATCAAGTTAGGTTAGGTTAGATTTGGTTAGGTTGGGTTAGGTCAGGTTAGATTAGGTTTGGTCAAATTAGATCAAGTTAGGTTAGGTTAGATTAGGTTAAATTCGGTTAGGTTAGATTAGGTCATGTCAGGTTAGATTAGATGAGGTTAAATTAGATCAGGTAAATATTGACTGTGGGCGGACGGGGGCGACATTGCTTCAGGTGATCCTGGTCTTTGCTTCTTACCTACTTCACAACTGTTAATATTAGTAATAAAAACTAATGTTGTGTTAAGAGACGTTCGATAAATAACAAACAGGTAATACCACCGGTAATAACACACAGGTAATAACACACAGGCAATAACGCACAGGTAATAACGCACAGGTAATAACACACAGGTAATAACGCACAGGTAATAACACACAGGTAATAACACACAGGTAATAACACACAGGTAATAACACACAGGTAATAACACACAGGTAATAACGCACAGGTAATAACACACAGGTAATAACGCACAGGTAATAACACACAGGTAATAACGCACAGGTAATAACACACAGGTAATAACGCACAGGTAATACTTAAGAGGAGCATTTCTCAAGACACTGGTGGTTGGTGAAGTAACTAAATATCCTTTAAAACAACAGCAGCAAACGTCTCTCTCTCTCTCTCCTTTATGTGTTTCTAAACTGTATGTAGAAACTCACTGAAGCCGTTTTATTAACCCGGGCAGATGTACTAACAATAATAACAATAACAACATCAAGAGCAATAATAACATCAACAATAATAATAATATCAGCAAAAATAATAACACCGATAATAATAATACTAAAAATAATAACAATAATAACTCTTAGAAACTTAGTGAAAGCGTTTAATTAGCCTTGACAAATAAATTCACCACCACAACAACAAACTCACTCTTTCCCCCCTCTCCCCTTAACCTAACCAAGATTCTTCCCTCTTCGCCTCACATTCTCTCTCTCTCTCACTGATGACATACTGACAACTCTTCTTGAATGTTTAAACCCAGGTAATACCGAACCAACCTTTAATCATCTACACAAAGAGTTGAGAGTCGCCCGCGCACACCACTTAGGTCTGTGTATCTTCTATAACGTAAAATTACACCCTTAAACCACACGACCATAGAGTTAAAAATGGTGTGTGCTATGTCCTCAATACAGCCGCGGCAACCTATCAAGATGAATTTTGAACCTTATTGCCCTCTAACAAAGAAACGAATATACTTTGAATTTATTTTTATAGCCAAGCTGTAAAACGATCACAGTACCGCGAAATTAACCCCTACAGTCGGTACTTACAAAGTTGATAATCCCCTGCAGTCTTTACAACCTAGTTACGGTACTTTCCAAACAAGAAGAATATTCACTCCTCTTGTATATAATCATTAAAGCTAAAATCTCTTGCATGTCAAAGCTAATTCTCAGTGCAGCCGGTAACAAGATAATAATAACCCCTATAACACCTGACTATAGAGCCATAAGTCCTTTTCCTTCACTCCCCTTCACAGCAGACGACACAGCCACTACTCCTACAGCTCCTACAAAAGCTCCTGCTGTTAGTAAACGACAGAAGTTGAGTAGATGGAGCGTAACAATAGCCCTTTGACTTAACAATAGCTAAATTCTATTAGATACAGAAGCTGGACAGGTTAGAGGTTGAAATAAGTTAATTATTTGGTTTAAATTGAGGGTGGTTATAGTGTTTGTCTCTGTCTGTCTGTCTATCTGTCTGTCTGTCTGTCTGTCATTAAATAGGTAGGAAGGATAATGCCTGTTGAGAGAGAGAGAGAGAGAGAGAGAGAAATTAACAGAAACAACGGCAGAGAAAGTTAAAAGGGAGAAGAGAGAAAGAGAAAGATAAACATTAACAAAGTGAGAAGTATAATAACTAATACTGTGAGAGAAACAAAGAGACAGGGAGAGAGAAAGTAATATACACAAAGAAGAAGGTCGAGAGATAATGAGAAAGAGAGAGAGAAAGAGAGAGAGAGAGAGAGAGAGAGAGAGATGTCACGCGATCGTACAAGCCATATGAGCACCGCCTGACTACCTGACACCACTGTGTGACATCTACCCTCCCTCCCTCCACCACCACACCAGCTCACTTCCACAAGACACGCTTATTCTAGTGTGGCACATGTCTGTCTGTCTGTCTGTCTGTCTGTTGGGAATGTCTATCTGTCCAATTGCTTTTCTCTAATTCTCTAAATCTGTTTTATCTTTATCTATTCTTATTTATCTATCTTTCGCCTCTCTCTTCCTTCGTTTATCCTCTACTTCCATCTGTTTCTATATTTATCATTTTCCAGTCCCTCCCTCGCTCTCTCTCTCTCTCAAGGTATTCCACTCTTTATCTTATTCTATTATCTTCGTTATTCCTTCTTTCATCCTCTTCTCCCCCCACTTCTTTATTTCCTCTTTATCTCCCCTCTCTCTCTTCTCTACCACATCACCTTCCCCCACCCTCCCCTCTCTCTCCTCTTCTCTACCCATCACCTTCACCCTCCCTCCCCTCTACCACATCACCTTCCCCTCCCTCCTCCCCTCCTCTTCTCTACCACATCACCTTCCCCCTCCCTCCCCCTCTCTCTCTTCTCTACCATCACCTTCCCCCCTCCTCCCCTCTCTTCTCTACACATCACCTTCCCCCCCCCTCCCCCTCTACCACATCACCTTCCCCCTCCCTCCCCTGGTGATTTGATGTAGTGAGGATGGCCACGCAGGAGGTGAAGGTGAGACTTGACCGAGGTCAAGAGCCAGGTCAATAGGGGTCAGGGCTCGACTGTGTTAACAGGAGGTGCCAGCCTCAGGTCACGCAGTTTCCGGGTGAGTGAGAGAGAGAGAGAGAGAGAATGGTGAGACAGTGTAGAGAAGAGAATAAAAGTGGGAGGAATAGAGAGACAGAGATGTAAATAAGGATGAAGACATTGTTGTGTGTGTGTGTGTCTGTGTGTGTGTGTGTGTGTTGAAGTAATCCCCAACAAGTGACAACAATAACAAACCTCTTTAGCAATTCCGCACGTATCATTTCCGGTCTTGGGGGAGTCTGCTGGCCTTAACGCTCCTCCCTTTATTTACGTCACTTGTGAGTAATGTTGGAGCCACATCCGAATTAACAGAATCATAAACA